GTCATTTCCAAGAAGATGGAGTTTGATGCAAGGTTGTGAATCAAGGATGAGCTTATGGATCTGGATTATGTGCTTCTTTTCCAGCTTGTGTAAGGTAAAAAGCTTGAATCTTGTTTATTGTTAGCTTAGATCTCCTTTGTTTGAGTTTTGGACCCATTTTGGTCCCTTAGATGAGATCTTGTGGATTATTATCATTTCTGAAGCTTAGAGTTGCTACTCTTGGTGTTCTTTTGGTGCTAGAGTCATAAAGTTGTCACCGTTGAGGATTAGAACCATCCATGCATGAGTTATGACCATTGTTATGGAAATAGAAGGTTATATTTCGAGATTGGGTTCGTTTGGGTCATGCAAAGTCACCAAGTCAGTGACTTTATGGTTCTAGACGATGTTTATGGCTTAGATCTATGGTTTGGACTTCTGGACTTATGCATTAAGAGCTTAATGTCGAAAATGGCTTAGAGGAGGAGTACGCTGGGTGTACAAGTCTGTACGCACCGCGTACAAGCCAGATTGCAAGTACGCTTAGCGTACAGTTGAGTACGCCCCGCGTACTCAGTCAGGAGGGTTTTGGCCTTTTGGGCTTCGTGTTGTGTTTCCTTTTTGGGCTTGGGTGTTTGAGTTCTTATTGGGCCATCTGAGTATGAATGTCTTGGACCAGGAATTTTGGTTGGGCTTTCGGGTAAGGCCCATGTATGGGGTTTGGGCCCAATTTGGAAAATTGGGCCATAATTGGGCCTTGGTTGGTTATTTGACTTTTGGGCCTTTCAGGTTATGAGTTTGGGCCTTGGTCCTGGATCAAGCTAGGTTAGGGGTAAAATGGTATTTTTACCCCGAGTATGAATTTATGGTTATAGTTTGGAACCCAAATGCTGATTGGGTGTTGTTTTGACAGTTCGGGGAATCTGTCAGCCAACAGTCAGAGATCGTCGGTGTGATTCGTCGGTGCGAGGTGAGTCTCCTCACTGATATATGGGCCGAAGGCACCAATGTCGACCCATGTTTATGTTATGTTAGTATGCTAGCTGTCTTCGTGACTCTTGCATGTGTATGTGTTTATATGCTTTCCGGGATAAGGCCCGATGCCGGGCTGGGCCCGATGAATAATTGTATGTTATGTATCTATGTGATTATTATATGTGTATGTGCTTATTTGATATATGTTATTGTATGTTGGGCGGGGCCCGTTTTACCGAGCTCAGCTCGATGTCGGGCGAGGCCCGATGTCGGACGGGGCCTGATGACAGGGCAGGGCCCATTATATGTTTTATTACGTATGGTATGTATTATCTTAGGGAACTCACTAAGATTTATGTTTACGGTTTTCAGTTTATGTTTCAGGTACTTTGGTTTTCAAATGGAAGAGCTCGGGATGATTGCAGTGCGCACACCACATGATTCCGCACTCAGTGATTTACTCTGATTTAATAATGTTTTGCTAAATCTTGATTACCATGGTTTTATGTAAATGATATGTATTAACGATTTATTAATCTAAAAACAGAAATTTTATGTCACTATTTTTGGGACGTTACACATAACCAACAATCCAAGGAATGCATAACCGTATATACTCAGAGGTGAGATATACACCCAGACAAGTGATCCTACTCTAGAGTCACAACCAAACAAGGAACAGGCAAGAAAGCTTTGATCAGGAGTCCTCAATTTATCCTACGTGACTACATACAGAACATATAGCATCCCTCTACTAAATGATAACCAAAACTAGTGGGTCGGCATTGGTGCCTTCGACCCACGGGTACAATAAGTCAAAACTCACCTGAATCGAAGAACCCTGAAACACTATGATACACTCCCTTCTGCACTGCGTACCCCCGCGAATCCACTATCACCAAAACAAGATAGAATCTTAATCAATATCCCAAAACCCTTACGTTTAACCTATAGTCAAACTTGGTAAAAAAAGTCAACTGTTAAAGGAAATCAAAGAAAGTCAAGGTCCAAGGCTGGCTGAGTACGCCCAACATACTCCCAAGTATGTGATTCGAGTCTAGTACGCACAACGTACTCCCAGTTACGCCCAGCGTACTCAACCTGGTTCCAATATTCCCATTAAGCACTTTTTCCCTTAAGACCTTTCATCCAGAGTTCAGATCTAAATCCAAATGACATACTTAACCATAAAGTTTCCAACTTTATGACTTAGCATGGCTAGAAAGGGTCCAAATCAAAAACCCTAACTTTATCATAAGATTCTAAGCTTTATAACACATGCATGAATGGAAGAAAAAGATTAAGATTGCATTTTTATGACTTAACACCCTCATATACACCTGGAAATGCACCTCACAAGATCTGAACAACACACTCAAGTGGACCAATTTATGGGACAAAAAGGACACAGCTTTAACACATAAGCTAGATCTATCAATGGAGGCATAAAGGTACAAACCATATACCTTATGGAGATGAATGAGGGATGAGAACTTCTAGATCCAAAGTTGCTTCAAGCTTCTAAGCACTATCATCACCTTCTTCTTCCTTCAAAGGTACCAAAAAGCACACTCTTTAGCGCACAAGGCTCAAACTAGGGTTTAGGTTTCAAGGGAGGATGTTGGAGGGATGGAGGCTGAGAATGGAAAGGGTTTGTGGAAGTTAAGGAGCTTAAATAGGGCTCAAAACCCCAGATTTAGGGTTTGGGTTTTGATCGCGTGCGCTTAGCGTACCAAATGGTGTGCCCATAATACGCTTATAGAGGCGCGACTTAAGTCACTAGTACGCCCAACGTACTTAGGTTTCGCCCAACGTACTACCCTTCTTCCCAAATTCAACACAAATTCAAATTGCCACAACTTCTTCGATTCAACTCCAATTTTGACATTCTTTATATGCACGAAAAATTGTTGAAGAACCTCACCACCTAATCTAGTTACATTGGACTAAAAACTTCTCGAACTAAAATCCATATTTAATGCAAGAAACCCGACCTATAGTTTTCCCTTTCTACCCTTCGACCCAATACACCGTTCAAGGGTAGATCTCTCAACCATCATTATCTCCTTCCAAAAGGTCTAAATTTTGCCTCCTTAAGGCCCAAAGCCTTTACACAATCGTCTTCCGGCCCACGGCCCTGAAATAAGATCGTTATATTTAAAGAAAAATATATGTTTTAGTATTTGCAGTTAAATTTTGCAACATGATTTTTTTTTCCTAATTGATTCATACTTTTTTGAATTAAAAGATTATCAACTTTTATCCATTTAATCATATTTTTGAATGATGATCTTTAATATAAAAAAAAGTATAGTTATTAAAACAAGCTATATATTTAACGTGTTATGTTAATATATATCCGTGTTCTTTGTTCCTCAATACTCCACTAGTTTTATTTGGAGTTTTTGACCAAGATGGTGTTTTTGAAAAAAATATTTACCAAATAGGTGTGGTTTTAAAAATATTTACCAAATAGGTGTATTTTTAAATTTTTTTATTTTTCTTAAAATTTCAGTTTTTTTAATCATTTTGCTGATTTTTTTATCATACATTTTTTATTTTATTTTTTACTTTTTGCTATAAAAAGGTGTTTCTTTTGTTTATATACATCAAACAAGAGAAAAAAATGGTTTGTACACTGCTCAACGGTTTAGAAAACAAAAAAATGAGAATGTTTTTTTTTCTAATTTATTATTATTATAGTATCTACATAAGAAATAAAAATCATTTTCTTATTGTTTTGTATTATTCGTTGAGTTTTTTTTTTCTTGTTGCATCTAAATTCTAGATATACAAAAAGAAAAGAATTGTGTATTTTTTGCTAATATATACCAAATCAATTGAAAAAAAAATTGTTTGCTGGTCTTGTTGGTTTAAATTAAAAAAATTATTGGTACAATGTTTTAAGTACAAACCAACAAAAATTTTAACAAATACAAAACAAAATAAAAAAATATCTGAAATAGCTTGGTTCGATAACCATTATTTGAAAAAAAAAATTAAAAGAATAAGACATAAAGTCGAATAAACCAAACAAAATATACGAAAACATATTCAATATTTTTTTGTTTGGTTCATTCGACCCTTTTTTTCTTTTCAGATAGTGGTTATCGAAATAAGCTATTTCGAAATTATTTATTTGTAAGAAGCAATTGGGGTTTTGTAAACATTATACCAACACTTTTTTAATCTAAACCAACAAAGACTTTTTATAAAAACTAACAAACAATTTTTTTTTTCAATATGAACCGATAAATATCATTTTAAGTAAAAACCATCTGAATAATTAATATACTAATAAACTGGAACATGGGAAAACAATTCTAAAATTAAACAATTGATTTGGTATATATTATTTTTAAATATATACATGTCGTAACAAAAAAATAAGAAAAAAAAAACCATTCACTTTTTTTTGTGTTCTAATCCTTGGAGCAATGTACAAACCATTTTTTTTTTCTTTTTTCTCTTATTTGATGTATATAAATAAAAGAAACACATTTTTTATTGCAAAAAGTAAAAAAGAAAATAAAAAAAAAGTATGCTAAAAAACAGCAAAATGATTAAAAAAACTGAAATTTTAAGAAAAAATAAAAAAATTTAAAAATACACCTATTTGGTAAATATTTTTAAAACTACACTTGGTAAATATTTTTTTCAAAAACACCATTTTAGTCAAAAACTAGTTTTATTTGTCACCATGTCCCTTTTAAACCGAAAATCGTGAAAAGTGCATGACTGCATGTACATATTTTACTTGATAAATTACAAGTCCTCATAGCTTTGATACATTTGAATGTGACCATTCTAGTCCTACCACAAATACCTTGTCTATATAAAGACAAAAAACCTATGTTGTTTAGGACATATTTCGTACTTTTTACAAGCACTAGTAAAATATTTCAAAATTACTTGTTTCATCTATGATAACTGTAACAAATATAATACGATCATTAAAACAATTTAAAATTTCAATAAACACGAAAAAATGAAATGAAATAAAATTAAACACAACAAATTAATGAGATAAAAATACTATTTAAGATTTACGAAATAGAATTTCTCCATCTTCTCGGTGCCTTTCTAGCCTGTGCTACGTTATTCTGTCCTCCAACTTCGTTATTCTCCATTGTATTCATCTTCGTAATCTTGCTCAGCTTCTTCCATCCACTCGTCCATGCCGATTGTTGTTTAGGCTTCGTCCCCTTATCAAACTGTCTCTGCAAATTCTCCATTTCATGTTGCAGTTCTAAGTACTTCGTCTTCACAGTTTCAAGCTCAAATTTCAGCGTATTAATGTCCTTTTTAGCAGCAGCCCACCCTTCCTGAAACGACTGCGGTGTTCCTTCCAACAGCGTTTTCCTGTTCTGAACTAATGGTTGGTAGTGAGGATCGCCGGTTTCTTTCACTGAGTTGCTCGCAATCGCGTTGCTGATCTTCACCTGTTCGGAGAACAGAACCTGCACCACCACCCGGAGCGGCAGCCGCTCGTTTTGCGCAGCGTGCATGCATGCATCCATGGAGAGCTTCTGGCAATCCATTACTCGACATAACCTTTTCCGTTCGTGTTCAGAGAGTGTTGGGTGAGCTTTGAGATATGAATCAATGGCTCTGTATAACCCATCGTCGCAGCTCCGGGCAGATTCCGGTAATGCCTCGGCGAGGACCTGAAACTTTGTTAATGAAAGGTTTTTATCGCGCGACACCTCGGTGAGGTAGCTGTCGACGAGCCTTGCGACTCTCATCTTCGCGTTTGAGTTATTACTCCGTTGAATCCCGTCGTACATGTGCTTTTCCGACATTGATTGACGACCGGGGCTTTCGGTTTCCATCTGTTCTTGAATCAAGAAATGTTCCAAAAGCCTTTGAACGAGATCAACATCGTACATGGTGTCGGTTTTGCTGTAACAAGGGATTAAAAGATCAGCTAATGTCGCCTGTTCGAATTGCATCCCGACTCGTTTTTCAAGCTCTGTAACCAGCGCCGGAGCCACCTTCAACAAGTTCGCCATGCGTAGCAGCCGGAGAAGGAAGCTGCAGGAGACGCTGTCTTTTTGTGGTGGGATTATGCTTATAAGGCTCTCGATTATCATTCTTTGGTCTCTTGTTTGTGTAATTGAAAATTGATCGTCTTTATTCCCGGAAACGATCATGTGTAGTCCGCCTTTCCAGTTGCCGGAAACCACCATGCCACCACTACCACTGCTACTTCCTTCTTCGCCTAAACTACCAGTACTCCCTTCTTTGATTAACCCCGGAAGCGTTTTCGTGGCGTAGTGAGTTATTGCAGCTCCGACGAGTTCATATCGCATTCCTTTGACTTTAATCGCAGTGATTACACGAACAAAGTGGTCGATTCTGAGGATCGAAACATCTTCATACCACCAATCAGGAGGAACAGGGCTCCTACTTGGACTCGAATCCTTCATCTCGTTCCAACTCGGGCTTGAAACTTTCATGGGTTTTCCGGTGTATTGCCACCGGATACCTTTCGGATTCGCACAGGCTTTCCAAGCAATCGATTCGCTGCATCTTCTAACGATTTGAAGATTCTCAGCCCAAGGAGATAACTTTTCGCAACTTTTGAGAACAAGAATTGAATCTCTCCATGATGACAACACGACATAGCTAAGAAAAGCTTCGGTTTTGAATATGAGATTTCCTTCTTCCAAATCCTCCGTCATTTCCAGGTATTCGGCGGCGCATCGGAGGCCGGAGATGTTGGTGGCAGTCAGATCAACTGCGATTCCGTAGCAGAATTTTGCTGCAAGCTCAAAGGCTTCTGCACCACCTGGGATTTCATCCATGGATACCTTGCTCAACTCAACTTCTCTCGAATCGTATATCAGTCTATTCATTTTCCCACTTCTTGAAAGCAGCGGATACTTCGAATTCCAGAAACAAACACACAAAACGAAAAACTTAAATCAAGAATTCAGAACCCAAATCGTTCGATTCGAATGACTGTAATCATTACCTTATGCAAATGGAAACTAAAATCACCGATCTGAACCAGTAAATCACTTGGAACATCAGTTGCAACGAACCTATTGCATCAGAAAGCTTGTTAACTTCATATTCTAGAACTATAACAAAAACAGATAAGATTACTGGGTATAGTGTTTATATATGTACCAAGATTTGCCTCTTTGTTCGAAGCGATCAGTCTGGACGCCATGTTTGGTTGAAGAAAGAACTCCATTATCGTAGTCTCTTCCAGCACCTGATTCAGACTCTGAATCCCACATGATGACGACAGGGAAAATCGTGTTCGAAATCTGCTGGGGAAGATGAGGAGCAGAAGGATTGTGACTTGTGAGGAATGATTAAAAGGGAAGAATCTCACATGGGTTATGGTTGGATTTATCCAGAAATGTGGGCTTTGTATGAAGTTTTAAGCAGTCTGTACAGGCTGTGAGGTAATGGGCATAAACATGTTAGTGTTTTTGGAAGGAAGAAAGAGAGGATTTTTTGTCAGATTTGGAGGCCTTTATGTTTCAATAATATGCAGTTTGAGAATGTACCATTTCACCATTTTAAGTACATTTTCAAACACTTGCCCTTCTCTAAGTGGTTTATAACAAAAAAAAGTATACATATAACTTTAAATTTTTCGTTACACATTTGAATGAAATAAATAATACTAATAAAATATAGATATGACCCATTACATTGTTTGAAGTTAGAGGTGCACAAAAAAATCGGCTTAGGAAATGATCTAGATATTGGGATCGGTTTGACCTATGGATCCTTGAACCCGAAGTACGTGAAATCGGTCTGAAAATAAAAAGAATAAAAATCAATTTTTATATAGTAGAAACATGTCATTTTCATCCATTATTTCTTCACATTGTTATGATTATCATTCCATTTATGGTCAACAAAAATTTACTTAAATTCCGACAATTAAAGCAAGTTTTGCAAATTAGATGAAAAATAGGTTTTTCTTAAATCGTTAGTGAACCTAGCTAGTTTAAACCGGTCATCTAGGTTTGGACATTTTAGCCATAAATTGTTTTTTTGCTTCAAACTTGTTTTAACATTTTATAGAAAAAAACCGAACCAATTCGGTTTGAATAAAGGATTTGTGCACTTCAGGTTTGATCATGTTCAACAAAATTTAAATTTAAACTCGTAAATGAGAATAATATTACTAAGTGAATCTTGAAATAAGCAACGTACATGGTACTAGACCAATGACATTGATGATAATGGTCCATACTTTGGGGGAGAAATGAAGGAATTTAATAAATACAAACTTTAAGGTTTTTGAATTACGTGCATCATGTTATTGGACTTTTACAGTCAATATATTAAATTATCATTTATTTATATATAAACAAAAAAACAAAAAGTATTTGTTTGGAAGTTGTATTATAAATTCTAGTGATATGACCACCGTTTCTCAATCGTGGTTCATAATTTATCCACGTAACAAATATTTCATACTAAAACTCAAATGTCATGACAGATTTATTCTAATTAAAACGCTAGTGCATCATCATAATCAAATTAATTGCATTCAATGAATGATGGTAGATCTTTTATAATATATACTACTTTACCTAAGCATCCTTTCTTAGGAAAAAAAAATGTATCAGTTCAAAAGGCATTGAAGGCCAAAAGCACAATTGCAAAAGTAAAAGCAAACGATATATACGTAAAGCAAAACACAAAGCCCTACTGCCATAACAAAATCAAACGATATATATACGTAAAGCAAATGATATATACGCAAAGCCAAACACAACATTACCTTGAGCATCCTTTTTAAACTTTTGTTTGAGAAATTGTCATTTAACTATTTAAATAGGTAATTATTGGTTATATCTATTTACTACAAATAAAAATTGACGGAGAACCAAAGCAAAGCAAATAAATGTTTAATAAATCCAAACCAAAAAAATAGCATAAACAAGGAAGACGGATAATTTGTCATTAAGACATAATAAAAAGAAATATGGAGATAAATTCGGGAGAAACTTAAACAAGAAGTCTTAAATTGACGATTTTGGTGATGGCATATGGGCAAATCACCTTTGGCTAGTTATCAGGAGCTCCAGCCCTTCGAAAGCTTTCAACTATATAAAATAGGTCTTCAAAGTCGTAAGAGATCATAAGTTAAGTTTTTTGTAATTTGGGCATTTTTTTGCTCCACATGTCATTTTCTCATTTATCCATAGAAGCATTGTCAGTCTTCTGAATGACCTACAAATATGAAGTTGTTTACACGTTCAAAATATTTCAAAATGAAATATAGAATCATCTCGCTAAGACCATAAAAGTCATATTATTTTATTATGAGACAAGAGATTCTAGACAATCTAACGCGTTGAGAGATTGTCACATAATTCACTCTGCATGGAACACCACAAACCTAATGGTGTGTTTGAGCCAAGGACCCAAACCTATAAGATATGGTATGATTCATGATGAGTCAACTCACAATTCCTATATCCTTTCGGGGCTATGCCTTAGAGTATGGTGGATGCATTTCTAGTATGGTTCCGAATAAAAGGTAAACAAGACATCCTGTGAGTTATGACATAAATGTGAAACTCTAATGTCTTGCTTAAAGATCAAGGGTTGCGGAGCTCATGTAAGACGTGAGACTTCCAACAAACTGTGAGGAGCCCTCACAAATTGTTGTACAACCACCAAAATAAATACAAAGCATTCAAAATCCTATAAAGGACCTCAATAGTTAGAGGTATGGATTTGTCACTAGTGATGAATTAGGGGATTCTTATGAACCACGAACTACCATGAAGCTATGTTAGATCCAGAATTTAAAAAAATTGCTATAAACCATGAATGCTAAGATGCAATCCATGAAAAATAACTAGGTTTGGAACCTAATTGATCCTCCACCTTGAAGTAATCCTATTGGATGAAAATGAGCATTTTCAAGAAGAAGACCAACATAAATGATACTTGTTGTGAAAGGATATCCATAAATCATTCTATAGGCTATGATGAAAGCTTCTTCCCAGTCACGAGCATTAAATATATTAGGATACTGATTGAAATAGTCGTATATTATGACTATGAGAAACGTCAAACAAATGTCAAAATTGCTTTCTTAAATGGCTACCTCAATAAGGATGTTTATATCATGCACCCATATAGATATGTGAATATTAAAACATCCTTATAAAGTGTACAATTATAAGGTCCATTTTTGTATTAAAGAAAGCATCTCATATATATATAGAATTTCTGTTTTGACAAGAGAATCAAAGTGTTTGGTTTTGATCAAAATCAAGATGAGCCATATGCTTATGTTAGAGAATTCAAAGAGCTACATCTCCTTGATATTGTATGTAGAATACATATTCTCATACTAATTGACATTCAGTCCTTGTGAGGAATTAAATCTTTGGATTGGTATATTTTTCCAATGAAAGACTAGATGGTACAACTTATATCTAGCATAAGTATCACTACATTCACGGTTCTATTGAATCCAATGAGGTTTTTATTATTATTTTTCATATATATAAGAATGTAGTTTATTCGTTAACCAAATCCATGACAAATACCAAATACGATAGTCATTTTGAATTCATTAGATTTTGCATTGCCAGCAGTTTTTTTGATTTACAATTGTTATTTAGTATATGGATACTGGAAGGTTTAAAAACTTTTTTTAGTTATGAATTAATATAATTAGATTGTATTTTTTCATCAAATCATACTTTATTCTATATTAGCATTCATAAATCTCTAATTATTTTTCTACTAATTAAAAGTCCATATCACGTTATAGGAAAAACTATGAATGAAGACTATTGTGAATGTTGATTAATATTCAAAGATGAATATTGAATTGAACCAGTTTAATACTTAAACTCATGGTCAATAAATATTGAATTGAACCAGCTTAATACTTAACCTCATAGATTAGCAACATTAAATGAATATTGAAGAATAAGTCTATATATCGTTTTACCTAAGGTGTATGTTAGTTGCTAAGTTTCCTTAGTGTTAAAGCTTGATGTAGTTAAATGTTGTTTTAAACAAGGTAGTTATAAAAGACTACTGTTACATTTAATATATATATATATATATATATATATATATATATATATATATATATATATATATATATATATATATATATATGTATAAGATTTATATTTCTTCCTCTATTTGTCGAAGTAAGAAATAAGAAATCAAATGGGCCATTTGGTAGAACCGGAAAGATGAAGTGTACAGCCGTACAAAAACATTATTGATAGTTAATCAAATTTTTTAACCTATCCTACTATATAGATCAAGAAATCAATATCATACTCATGTGAGAAATATTGAATCTATGTGTCATCTTTAATGATATGAAAATAAATGAAGATGAACATGACAATGCAATCACCATTAATAATTTATGGAAGTTATATGGATACAAACACCCATATATATGGTGAAGGGTAGTGACATGTTGGTATACTCTTAGAAGTAATTTTCGGTTGGTTGTTTTGTCTCTTGTATAAGTAGAAGTTTTATTAGAACCTAAAAGTGTCAATCTACAATGGAGTCTTCCAAGGTTGTAGAGAGAAGAGTTAAAGAAAAGTTATGGTACTGAAGTCATTCATGTCAAAAATAGTTATGTTTATATATAAGTTGTTTTGTATAATACCCATTGATTAAGAAATATTCTTATTGTTGTCTAGGATAAATATATTTTGTTATGTTTTGTAAGTGTACTTTTGTACTTTACAACTAGATACATCAGACTCACTTCCTTAGGGTTGTTCACTATTCGGATAAAACCGAATTATCCAATTGGACAATTTGGATTTAACTATTTGGTTCGGATATTCGGATTTTTGGATTAGATTTCACCAAAACTGAATTATTATTTTGGATTTTGGATTGGTTTGGTTTATAAAATAAGAACCGAATAGTCCAAAAAAACCGAATAACAATTTATTATTTATTTATTTTTAATATATCTATAAGTATTTATTAACTTTATAAATTATTTTTTTTCAAAAAAGTTCAAAAAGTTTCACCTAATAAAAATATTAATATGCATTTTCTCTCAAAAGTGTTTTATCAATTAAATATTAAATTCTAATATACCTTATTCGTAGTTGTTTATAAATTATAAATTACAACTAAATAATTTGTTTTTGCTTCTTCTATAAAAATTGGAAAATATTATAATTATATATCGTTTTAAAATATTATGCCTTTTGAAAACCGAATTATAAAAACCGATCCAACTGAATTGTAATTGGATTGGATCGGTTCAGATTTGAATTTAGTTTGGACAATTCGGATCCATATTTTGAAAACCGAAATCAATTTGGATTTAATTAACTGGATCGGATCGAACCGATCCATCCAAACGAACAACCATCCCGAAATTTCAACAAATTTAAACTTTTCAAAACAACTCATTTACTAATAAAAGTGTCTACAAAACCATTGTTTCCAAAACATGATTTAAAATCTAAGTCTCCCAAGATCAAATCAGTTGTAAAACCAATGATGTGTGCGCCTTCGCCTTCCCACCATCGTTTGATGCACTTGAAACAATAAACTGAAACTGTAAGCAGAAAGCTTAGTGAGTTCCCCCAAAGTACCACCACATACCACATATCAAACAACAACATACATAACCGATCCTTCAGCCTGACTGGACCGCCTCGCAGGTCCTACAGCCTATTTGGACTGCTCT